CGCGGATGGATACCCGCACTGGCCTGCTGCGTTAGTTGAACCTTGGAATTGAAACATGTGGGTCGCCTGCGGTGCACTCGCCTCCTCTGGCTTTATTTCGTGCTGTGTAGAGATACCGTGATTCATGGAAAGTATGAACGTACTTGTGGGATGTTCAGCAGTTGTGGCCCTGCACGCAAGTAAGCTCCTCTGCGAGTGGCTGCTCAGTCAACTGTGAGGCTTAGTTCTGTAATCTATCCGACCGAGAATTGGACGTGTAAGCTTGCGTGTGCGACTCTTGCAGTTTCATTTCTGCTTAGCAGCAGGAACGAGTGTGATCCCCTTGCTGTGCTGTTACCATTTTTTGGATATGTGGATTAAGGAAAACCACGGGCATCTGCCATCATTGAAGGTGAGTTCGTTTTTTGAAACACGCTTCGCAACAAGGACACACAAAAAAAACTTCCAGATAGTTCTTGACTCTAATTACGCTTCAATTTCGACGGTGTCGCTATCCAAGGATGGTAGCAATCGGTTCTCCGGGACGTGTCGCTGCGGAATTCCGCGAGATTTTTTTTTCGGCCGTTTTTACGGTTTGGACTCCTGTACTAAGTAAACTTTCGGGTCCCCCTCTTTTACACTCACATATGCGCGACGCTAATATTACTCCAAAAGGAATAGAGTACTCTATAGATTGCATTCTAACTCGATTCCTAGTCCTGATGGCGTCTGCCCCGAGTTACTAAAAATACCAAAACCTGCAATATATAACATTGTAGTTACTCTTACATCAGTATACTGACACGGGGGGCGTCTCGTATGATTGGAACTCCTCTCGCTTAATTCCCATGTTCAAATTGGCGACCCGTGTTGCACATAAAGTTACAAACCATATATTTAACTAGCATATACGTTACAAATGCCTAAGAGATGTAATTTAACCTGCTGTCATGAGGTATCTCCCAAAACACAACTTTATCGGTCAGCATGCTTCTTGCCTGGTAGTTCTCGCGCAGCTGATAAAATTAATTACTTGCTCCTAGTGATTGATTAATCACTCTGTTCATTCTTTACACCAAACTGATGTTATATGTGTAGACATCGCGAAGGTTTTCGAAAAGGGTCTTAACTTGCGCTTTATCATTTGACATGTCTTAACATAAATACGAAAAAAAATTGCTAGGTAGATCAACTCGTTGCTAACCGGTACCAATATGTTTTTCATTTACTCTATTTATCCTGTTTACCATTTATCTCTGTTCATTCACGTCAAGTCCGGAGTACCGCAGGGCTCTTTGCTCGCACCTGCATTGCCTTTGTTCACATTATTGATATTGGTAATGATATTCCGCAGATTATTTGCGAACGACTGCGTTAAGTTACAGACAACGCCCAGAGGATGCCTGCTACCTTCAGTCTGATATAGAAAATCACAGTAAAGGGTACAATGTGTGGCAAATGCAAATTGACCTAAGTGAAAAAAAAAGGCCAGCAGATTAGAAAGTACAGCTGACCCCGTGTAATGCGACTACACACTGAACACTGCAAGCACATAGACTATGTGTCCTCAATAAAATACCTCGGCGTTCGTTTGTTATATGGTCTTCCATGGAATACTCATACAGCTGCAGTTGGTAGTAAGGCATACAGATTATTTGAATTCATAAGACGCAATTCGCATCAGGCTAACTCTGTGACAGTGCTGACAACCGTAGGGTATAATTACCCTATAATAGGGTATTTTTGGAATTTTTAGGTCAGCGTGGGGTAGTAGCGCGGTAATATGATTTTATTATCAAACGTAATGTAATTTCCATTTTTCTCTCGCCATACATCAGTGAAAAACGTAGACGATCGATGGGACACCCATGAGGATTAAGATCATTCCTAAAGAGATCGGAACATAATTCGTTTTTTAAAAATAAAATTGAATCTATTTCAGTTCGCATGTTACCAGCATTAGGCAGAAACGAAATGTATTACGTTAAATGCACGTTCCCACAGAGCTATGAAATTGTTGCTTTTTGCCATGGATGGTTTTCATCCCACTGTCATCGTCCATTTGTTCGCTGCGTGGAATGATTGAATAAAGTTTATTTAATGTCCGGCATTTTTCTTCGGGCATGGTGGGGGAAAGAGGGGATTGACCCCTATATCCATCATAAGGAGACGTTGGCGCCGGCTACTCTATAGCCCTTGAGTAAATATTGAACACACATAATAAAGGAAAAACAAAGAGGAGTACATGCAGGGGTGCAATAGCTACGCCTATGGCGCCAATTTTATACAATTCCCCATTTTTACGCCGAGCTGCGCTAAAAGCATGAAATTTTCTTAAATTGCGACACGCTGCGCCAAAGTGTCCGTCCTGACTCAACACTTTTTTTTTTCAGTTGCGCTAACTTGAGTGAGGAATGGAGGCCATGTTAGCCATCCGCAGCTTGCGTCATCAATCAGTCCGAGCACGCAGACGCTAACCCAAACCATGGTGTGAGATATAAGGGAGATTTAGAATAGCGTACCGCGAGCCCTTGCGGTGCGGTCGCTGCCACTGTGCATGCGTCGTAACGCAAGTCGGCGTTCGCGGACCGCACGCGAAAAAAATCGCGATTGCGTGCGGTGATGGCGGCCCGCAAGCGTTGGTTTCGAGGCTACGGTGTCGCTGCGATCGTGCGTTGCGGATCGCAGCAGGGCAAACGCTATTCTAAAGCTCGTATGGCGCCCGCAACGCCAGCAGCGCTTGCAAACCGTATTCTAAAACTCCCTATATACTTTAGAGACTAGGACGCTCGCGAGACGTGATCTTGATAAAGTAACAGCGCTGCGCGCCCGCCCGTACAGTAACCGCAGCAGATACGGATCGGCGGAACGATGCAACTTAATGCCAAAAATGCGCTGCCGCTGAGCCAACAGCGCTTCGTGGGAAACATGACTTTCCTTGTCAGAAAACGCGTGTTCTGCACGCGAAAAAACTGGACGTGTTGCGAAACCCGTGTTGCCGGTGACTACGTTCGTTGCAATGAAAGCAGCATATAAAACATTTTCCTGTCTTGAAGTTGCCTCGTCCTGGCGAGAGATAACCGGCGTTGGTTATCTCTCTCCGGGACGACGCAATAAGATAGATAGATCGATATAATATTACAGCAAAGTTGTTGTGACTAATAACGGACCTTGCTTACACTAGATGGTGTTCAAGAGTTGGCGGGAAAGCAGCCCCAATGTTCAAGATGGAAAGCTGCGAATCTCGGATTGCAGCTCAATGGTTCTGCTACTGGGAGGACGCGCTAAAAAGAGGTTTTTAAATTTTTACACTGCTCACGGTGTAGATCTTCTGGCACGCACGAGGCTTACAATAGCGCACTGATATTCGTGCTACTACTGTATGCCTGATAAGGATAACCTTGACCTCTGCAGTGTACAGCAAGTGGTGATGAATCATGTTTATCCCAGTGAAAAAAAAAAGCGCTAATCAAATCATCCGACACTCACCGTTAGCTGTCCGACTGACAGCTCAGACTTGTCTTTGCTGTTCTCCGAGTAAGCGGAGTATTCTTGCAACGGTGTCAACAAGATGGTGTCCTTTTCCCGGACTGGAGAGCCCCATTCCTGCAGGAGAGGCCCGATTTTAGCTCTTTGCTGGCACAAAGTTGCAGCAGCACATCGATTGCGACCAGCCAACCGCTTCACTTGGCCACGAATGCCACGCTGGGGCAACCATATATGATGACCACCGCAGCTAAGCATCGGCCAGCTTTTCCAGCAGTGCCAATTTATAACCTTGCAACAATGGTGGATACAGAGGGCGATCGCTCTCTATATCCGCCTGGGGGACACAAAGGGCGAGTAATGGGAGGGGGAAATACCCCTCCCCCCAAGTCTGTGTCGCTCCCCTCACTTCAGTGCTTGTATAGTAATCCTCATATCACCAATCAGGACAATTGAGTGAAATCGTTGTGAGCTCACAGTAACAGTATTTATGCTATGAAGGTGTTTTCTGCTAGTAAAAGCAACAAAAAGCCATGACCACGCCCCCCTCTCCAATGTTGCTTCAGGCGACCGCCCCCACCCCACCCCATAATATGAGGTGGCTGGATCCGCACCTGCCTTACAATATCAATATCTGGCGTTTTACCTCCCAAAACCACGATAACGATCATGGGGGCACGTTATAGGTGAGGGCTACGCGAATTCTGGACCAGCTGGGGTTGGTCAACGTGCCAACAACTCTAACCTTATGAGCCTCCAGTATTTTCCTTCTGTCGTAATGCGATCACCGTGGCCGGTGTCTAACCCGTCACTTTCGGGTCAGCGGTAACCGTTGTACCGTCGCGATGGCATCAGCGATATACCTATAGTTGGATACAACTTGACTCCGGAGAGGCTCTGCCGATACGACCCAACCACGGCAGTCCTCCGCGAGTAAAGAAATAGTCTCGCTCATGCACTGGGAAATGTTCCCCGTAGAGGACATTGCCGAGTGTATGAGCGAGACTATTTTTTTTTTCACTCGCAGAGGTGATCGACTGTGGTACTTTGGCCGTGTTCTGTTCGGTAGTATCTTCGCCCATATCCTGTTGTCTGTATTTTTACTTCACTGTTGCATCCTTTCTTCACGCTAAAACGGAGCTGCGCTATAGCAGTGCGATTTTATCACGCACAAACTCGCCCAATCTACCGTACTTGTCCGAAGGCGGGCTCACCGGCCGTCCGGATCACGACGTCTGTCTGGCGTGCTCGCCAATTGGTGCAGGCTAGTGTGCATGAACGTTCCAGGAGGAAATGCATCGGACTTTTGAAGCTGTATCCGGCTATAGACATCCAGAAGGGTTATTTCGAGAGTAATCTCGACTTGACTTCGAGAATGGTGCAGTGTGAGCGGACGTCGGTGTGACTATACGACGATTGTTATAGCGCCAGCTGAGAACGACCACAAAGCGACAAGATGATGTCGTCGTTCTCAGTTTGCGCTATAACAATTGACATGACCTACCAACTAGTTTAAACCGCCACGCTTCTAAGGGACTATGAACCAAGTTAGCAGCAGGGCATTCATATCGAGTGGCAGTGCAAGCTCTCGTGTCTCGTAGGCTCTAGCAGTCCTTCGACTTGAGCAGCGGTGCTGCCGAAGCATATAACTTGTCGTTCCGATTATAGTTGCGATGATGGACTGTAAAGGACCACGTGGGACAAAAATGGCACCCTGCGACCTGCGGATCAGCAGTCGAGCACCATGGCGGCTCTAGAGCACTGCACGGGCCGTAATTATCGGCCCGGACTGCACCAGGGACCGGAACTCGTATAAATGTACCCGCCCAAACCCAGCCCGATGAATCAAAGTGAAACCCGGGCCCGTAAATTGTACCTGGGCCCGGTGAAGGCATGAGCCAGTAATACACAGGTGCTGGTGCCCGAGCATGGAAGGGACATGCAAGACGTTGCAATAGGCACCCGACAGTGGACCAGAGGGCGCGACGAAGCTTTTTGGGCCACCTCAGCATTGTTGGTACCGACCACCAGGGATACCAAGAAAATGAAACTCTCACTGAACACATTGAGACGCTGAAGTGTCAATGCTCTTTTTGGCGCGTTTTGAAAGAATGCTTCCTGAACGCCTACATAATCAGCCGTGACCCCCTGCTCACAACTAAAAAAAAATAATATGCACGTGCAAGTTCGGTTTGGCTGCGTCTACTCGCTAGGCTACGCATAGGAAGACTGGGTTTTTCTGCGCCTACCCGCTAGGCTGAGTGTTCTGGCGCTGCCATCAGATCTTGTAAACTGCATTGCCGTGTGCCTATAGCAAATATTCCCATTCGGAAGGCACAAGCATGGCTAGACAGTTTACACTTAATTAACGGTATAAAATACATTGACAGTGGAAACAGTTGAGCACACATGATGGGTGCTATTAAGGTTTGTTTAGCGGTATGGCATATTGTAACTTTTTTCTACAAATATACTGGGAACTATCAAGGGCGTTTTACAACAGATTATTAGCAAAAAAAAAAAAGATTTGCGGCATGAATTCATTTTCAGTGAACAGCTGCCAGCACGATAAAGAAAAAAAAAGGAAAGCAGAACGCAATTCTCACTGTTTTTATTGCTCTCTTTATTGAAATTGACAGCTTAAAAAAACGCGCACTCTCCAACTGAAGTAGAACAAAAACCAACAGCATTGACGTTCCGGCACCGAATACGGCTGACTTGTTCACGAACCACTGTAAACAAAGCGTCAGTATGGGGCACCGCAACGTCAATGCTGTTGTTTTGTGTTCTATTTCAGTCGGAGAGTGCGCGTTTTCTTCAGCTATAATTTTTTTCTTACCTCGCCAGACGACTCTTCCCCAAACCGTGGTCGCCGTGAAATTTAAAGAATGCCTTACGAACAAATCCATTCGCGCACCCTTTTTTGATATGGGACGGACACTCGTCTACAGCATAGTAGCACCTTTCCCAAACAAAAGAAATAGAGAGAAACAAAGAAATAAATTTATTACCCGGATCGTTGTAAATATACTAACCCAGACGAACATTGTTAAGAACAGCGTGCACCAAGTGCACTTTTGCAATTACGTATAAACGGATAAAAGGAAAAAAAATACCGTGTTCTTTTTTTTGTGGAATACCTTGCAGTATATTACGTCACATGTTATTGTGAACAAAAAGCTGATTATCAAAAGATGTCGGCTTTAAGCATGCCACGCGCTGTCGGATCACATATCCTGCCGTCATAAAGTTTCACTATACTTAAGCTTAAGCTTAAGCAGGGGCGAGCAAAATCTGTCTGGTAAATTACAGCCTGGGGAAGATGACACAACAGCCGAGTTGATTAAGGATGGGGAGAAACTTTTTGCTGGTGATGATGGTTCGGGAAAATGTAGCATTTTTAATGATAACTACCCTTAGATCACTAATTACATACATCTAGCCGTACGTGAAATCAATTGCTCATATTGTCGGCTTTGACATTTTATACACGTATATGCACTGAAATGCTATCTGCAACCTAAAACTCAAGTGTTCCTAACGCGCCTGCTACTTCGCCTACTCATAGAAGGGTTAAGCGAACTTTATTAAAGAATTCAGCTTAGTTACATGGTTAGAATATTACAGCAAAGTTTCAGAGAAACTGACAGGGGGACCTCCTATGGTTACATGAGTGAGGCAGTTACAATTAAAAAAATTCAGCAAAACTATTTGAACGTCTGATCGATGATCAGCGAGCTTGATTGACAGTAACAATGCAATCAATAGACAGCATTATGGCAATACTACTGAAAAAAGTGACATGGAAATACAAAAAATAAGTGATACAACAGGAATAACAAAGCATGATTCAGGAACAGTTCTACATGACAAATGCAACTAGTTTCATTATCAGTGCTGTAAGTTATGAAAAAGCTAATGTTAAATATGAAGCCATCACAGAAATGTTAGGAGAGCACGGTTTTCTCGCATTTTCGTTTGCTTTGTCTTAGTTTGCCGTTGACAGAGGAAGCAAAACCCACCGGGTTCTTGTGGTAAGAAACTCGGCTGATGGGGCCGAAGTGTTCCCAAGATTTCGTGGCGCCGCCAAAGCTGCTCTCCAAGACGGGTCCTGCGATCGTGCTTCCCAACCGAACATCTGTAATGCATTCCAAACAAAGGTCACACTTCGAGCCCGACGTTTTCGAGCGAACTTCTATCATACCTGGGATTATGTCTGGGCATTTTTCTTCATCATGATACATGTCGTTGGCGTCGTCGGTGTCCTTTTGTAGTGGCATGTGACACCTGGAGGAGGACAGATCAGTTATATTTGACACCTGCACTTGGGAAATCGTGATGGCCATACTACAGCCCTGCATCGCCTTAACCACACGGCCACTACTGCTGTTTACTACAGTCCTGCATGTACGGCTGTAGTAGGGCTAAACTTGGATGTACATGTAAGTTCAAGTTTAGCCGGCGCGTCAAAGATACGGTAAAGACGTACAAATCATACCGAAGCTGCTTTCCGTGATAAAAACTGCCGTACTACTACTACTACTACTACTACTACTACTACTACTACTACTACTACTACTACTACTACTACTACTACTACTACTACTACTAATAATAATAATATGCAAGGTTTTGGGCGCCGATCTACAATATGAATATGAGACGTGCCATAGTGGAGGTTTTCGAAAATTTTGACTATGGGGGTGTTCTTTAACGCGCGCGTGAGTCAAAGCGCATGGGCCTTCAGCATTTCGGCTCCATCAAAATTCGACCGCCGCGACAGGTACCGAACCCGTGACCTTCAGCCGGGTATACCTTATAACCGCATCACCACCACGGCGTACCTCTCCATTACCTTATCTCGCCACGTTGAACTGTTAGTGAAGGGACATAATCGCCAGCTTGTTGGGTCATCTTTCGCCCCACAGCACGAGTGGCACACAATCAGGGAGGACAAAAATACCCAAATAATGTAAATAAATATTACATCATTAATTACTTTTTGTAACTCAATATCTGCAATTAAATTGCATTACAAAATCCACGGGCCGGTTGCAATGGAATTACGGCAGACCAGCTTACCGACAACTTGTAAGCCTAATGAAGTTAGTTTCGCCCATTACTATTATTCTTGTAAAGTAAGGTGACTTCCTTGGTATTTCTTTCAATGAATGAATGCGATCTTTATTAAAAGAAGAGGTTGATGGTTGGCCGACGTTGGGGATAACGTGGGAAAGGGGATTAAAGAATGAGGAGCAACTTCATCTGACACCTTCACACGAATCCGTCGGCCCCTCCTATACACCGCTCGAAACAGGCCGCTTTGACAACAGTATATTGCAAAACCTTTCTGCGCTTCATGGTGAGACTTTTATTAAATTTCCGTGGAGCTGTCAGGGGTCGGCGGGCAGCAGATGCCGAGTGTGGCCCGTCTGCCTTTTGAGAAGGCTGCGCGTGTCCTAATGAGATGTTCTAAATCTGCTCTGCACATGCTCTTGATACTGTGTGCTAAGCGAAAAAGAAACCACACTATCGTCTTTGAACTCGGAGTCGTCTTAGAGGCCGTTTAAAGTAATTTATTTTTGTCGGTTTGACAGGCGTCAAGAGTAAACGAAATTACACGGAAGAGCTCCCAAATCGACTTGAAAGACGACTTGAAAGTCGAAGACGTACAGGAAAGTATAGTGAAATCAGTCGATCCGCACACGGTAGTCATGCAGGTAAGGAAGAACGGGCGTGCTACTCCGTGGAAAAGCAGCGTAGCACAAAATTGACAATCCATACCTCTCGTATAAGGACCCATCGAAAGTTTAGTTTCTTCCGACACCGCACGAACCGAGCGCTGGCGTCACGAAATTCGCCGAAAACGACGAGAAAACGCCAGCAGAGAACAACGCAGTTCGTTCTTCCTGTCTTGCAGCGGTCGTTTAAGGGTTCATTATTCATCGTCGTCGACCCTTCTTGCCCATAGAGTGTCGAAGGCCGTGGCCTTCCGGCAACCTTATTCTAGGGTTCAAGTGCTATATGTGCCTCCTCCGTGGCCATGCCTCGTTCCCACGCTTCGCAAGCAATGCAGGGAGGTTAACGGGTTTCGGCTACCCTGTCATTAAACATCCCTCGGGCATTATAATCACCTTCTAAAGAACGTGGCGCACTACGCCGAAAAAGGGTTTTTCGCTCTAGATCTACTCCACTATATCGGTACACTTCGATCATCCTTGGTCCCTCCATATAGAGCTACCTCTGAATATTTAAAGTTACCGTACTGCTTCTTATTTTTTAGACCCATGCTGTAAACGCTGCTGCTAACCAGGTATAGTTACCATCCGCATTGAACCCTATTGCTTTCGACGGTGGCTACCCCTCACCATCCACCCTTTCTTCCATCCCAAACGGTCGGTACTATCACCGTACCCGCTTTAATATTTATATCTATCTTTCATCGAATGCCATATATTTTAAATGATGTATAGAAAATATACATCAATTAGAAGGCGTCGGTAACTAGTTTTCTAGCTTTGGTAGATAAATATACAACACAGTAAACAGTATAAGTATGTATGCGGGCTTTGAAGAATAAATACTTGTAAGTCAGCGCTCTGTATGTGTGCTTTGTCTTGTTTTTCGTTTTTCGCGCTGTTTCCTTCGAATGTGTCGTACCAAAACGCCCAAGCAACCAGTTTAGCCACATAGTCACCGTGATGAAATTACAACGAAAGTCTGCCGTTGGTCAAGGTATCACATTTAACTTGATTAAAGCACTCTCTCCAGAGGGGTGATTAAGGGCTCGCTGACGCATGTGTTCCCCCTCTTCTTTATATGAAAGGCTTCATCGATTTCAAGCTCGATCCGATTTCAATATCTTGAGAGCGCCTCACAGTCATGGAAGAGTGGAGTGAAACCACAGAGAAAGAAGTAGGGTTTTAATCGAGTTAAATGTGATACATTCGCTCGTGGCGTACTTTCAGTGTAACATTATCATTGACCATGCGACAGTCTTTGACTTTGTTTCTTGTTAGTTCTTCCTTGGTGTATATATAATTTTCGACGCAATAAACTTGCGCCAATCGTTCGTCAGCGCTTGTTTTGTGTGTTACCTCTATTTAGCCTTATGTTGGCGCTGTTTTCACGCAGTGTCATATATCAGCTGGTCCTTCAACAAACCCTTTTTGCAATCCACCTTCCATTCTTTGGACTTCTATCATCATACAATGAATAATGCATGAACTTACTTGTCGTCCTTCTTGAGTCGTTTTTGGGCTGAAAAGAACAAAAAGAAGACAAACAGCAAATGAACGCGATTCAGTATAAAACGAATTTGGAAATGCGAATTTGAAGATGCTATATGTATAATAATTATGGCCGAATAAATGCACGAGGCTATGACTATTTCATTTCGTTTCGTGCATAGAAAATCTTAGCAATGAAAGTTGTGCATTTTTCGACCGGTCTCACGCTGAGGTACCGACGTGCCCATGGTGTCACGGTTGGTCGCGCTCGTGTTTTTCGAAATGTACTATCTGTATTATTACTGCCCTTGCACGGCAACTAAGCACACTTAATGCAACAACACTGCTTGGTTCGCTTTGCGACTCTGTTGTCGCAAGGAAGCAGCGGGAGAAAAATAAACAACAAAAAGGTCACAGCTTTGACGCAAAGGCGAAGCAATGAACTCGATAGCAACAAATTGGAAGGTCATGCGCCGAATGGCAAGCGAATCAAAACGTGCCCCGCGTTTTCCAAGCACAAATGACGCACGAACCGTACTCACAGGTACAGATGAACCCGAATAAGCGTCTCAATTGTTACTTCGATGTGTCTGAAAAGCGCGCCCTTTTCGCAAACTGAGATTGTGCAACTATTGCAGCGACCTTTATGCGTCCAGTAACTACAACAGAAACGTTCTAGTTAAAGCCCGATGCCGGCCAAAACGTACGATCGTCTCGACCACGAGATAAGGGCGCGCGAGCGAGCGCCCACCTTCCCCACTCTGAGGGGCAAAGTACGCGTGGGAGAGGAGAGCCACCGCGCGCTCATTGCGCCACCTTGCTGGTAATGCTAAGACCACAATAGTGTCCCCCCCCCCGAGATGCCCATCACCAGCGGTAAGTAGCAGATGTACATAGCTTGCCGTTTGAACGTTGAAGGACGTGCTGCTCGGTGACTGAGTGGTTAACGCCTCGCATTTGCGACTCAGAGTCTCCACGTTCGATTCCGCGCGCCGGAGTCTTTCTCAGGTTTTTTCTTAGTTGTGTTTTCATATATATATATATATATATATATATAATATATATATATATATATATATATATATATATATATATATATATATATATATATACATACATATACGGTGAGTGATGGCGACGCCGGCGGCAAAATCTAGCCGAGAGTGTTTATATGATTGCTATCGCAATAAAACTGGCACAAAAACTACGTCGTCATCAAGATTGTACCCATGGTGGTTTGAAAACCGAACGGCCGGAAAGCGAACGTTGTTAGGAGACTCAGCAGATGGCGCTCCAGTTCCAGAAAATGGGAAATGCATGCAGGGCAAGCGCAACAGGCTGCAGTGGGCTGGGCAGCGTTCCGACCTACGAGCAGCTGCTCACGCCACCCGAAACAAATGAGAAACAGAAAAGAAGGGGAGGAAAACCAAGAGAATTCTCTTGTTTGCTATATCCTGTGATTCTATTCGCGCACATGCAGCTCTAATTCTTATGACTTAAACTGAAAAAAAAAGAAAATGGTGACCTTAATGTTCATTTAGTGTCCTGAATGACACTATAGCCCTTAGCGCTTGGAGCGCAGACTGGGAGTGTGAACGCGAAGTGATCGAGCTTTAGTTAATGCATGGTGCCGGCGCGCTGCGAAACGAGGTGTAAGCGAGGCGCGACTATTTCTCATCATTGCACTTCATAATTGTAACAGATGTAGAGGAAAAGACGAGGGCGGGCGAAACACTTCACGCAGACCAATTCTCGAAAACACCAAGATATTGTTTAAATCGAGTGACCAGACCAAAATTTAGATTA